TTTTGCGTCCAAGATCCTGGGTCCTTCCAGCAGTGACATGACCCCAAAAAACATACGTCAAAAAAATAGCAGAATGGATGTGTGTCCAAAGATTACCAAAGGATTTAGGGTCCCGCACTGTTGGGCCCAGTGTCAGAAAGCTGGGTTTGCGTCCAAGGATCCCTGGGCTTCCAGCAGGACAATGAGGATACGTTCATAAATAGCACTCAGAAATGGATGGCAAAAGAAGCGCTGGAGAGTTCTGAAGTGGCCAGCAATGAGCCCAGATCTAAATCCCATTGAACACCTGTGGAGAGATCTTAAAATTGCTGTTGGAAAAGGTTAAAAAAAAAAAAGTCCTTCCAATAAGAGAGACCTGGAGCTGTTTGCAAGGAAGAGTGGTCCAAAATTCCGGGTGAGAGGTGTCAGAAGCTTATTGATGGTTATAGGAAGCGACTGATTTCAGTTATGTTTTCCAAAGGGTGTGCAACCAAATATTAAGTTAAGGGTGCCAATACTTTTGTCCAGCCCATTTTTTGGGGTTTTGTGTGACATTATGTCATATTTGCTTTTCTGCCATACTGCATAAACATGTGTATAGCAAACATGTTATATTTGTTCCACAATACATACAAAGGGAATAAACATGTGTATAGCAAAACATGTGTTAATGCAATACCTTTTTGTGTGTGAAATACTTGATTTTCAGGAAAAATATCAAGGGTGGCCAACAATTTCGGCCATTGACTGTATATATATATACACACACACACACATATATATATATATATACACACACACACACACACACACACACATATATACACACACACACACATATATATATATATATACACACACACACACACACACACATACATATATATATATACACACACACACATATATATATACACACACACACACACACACACACATACATATATATATATACACACACACATATATATATATACACACACACACATATATATATATATACACACACACATATATATATACACACACACACATATATATATACACACACACATATATATATATATACACACACACACACATATATATACACACACACACACATATATATATACACACACACAAAAATATATTTTGAATTATACTGAATATGGCCAAAATTGTAGTATTTCACATATATTTTTCTTCCATGTGGGAAGACAGAGGTGTGTCTTAGTCATTCAGCAGCCGAGGACTTCTGTATTCCGTTCGGAGAAAGCATAAATCAGGGGTTCCCCAAATACAAAGAAAGGAAGGAATTCTACGATTATTGCAGATTCTATATTCCCGGTGATGGTGACTCCACCACGCCCGCCATGCTCCCTGGCCGTGACGTTAGACACAAAGGGTGGGCTCACCTTCCCGCCCCGCGGCTGCCATGCTAATCTGCACAGGGACTTGGCGTTGGTCACGTCGTTGCATTTCGGCAGCAGAGAGAGGTTGGCTTCACAAACCTAATCACAGGAAGGCAAAGGAAGGCGGGTATCAGAAAATACTGAATGTAGCCGGATTATCATCTCTACAGACAACGTTCACCAACCTGATCTTCAATCTTCCAGATCCTCACTGACCCGTCACAGCTGGCAGAGGCCTAAGGAACAAGAGAGGTCAATGAGGAACAGAAAACTGGAATTTCCCCCTTTCGGGACTCCAAGACAACTAGGGGGTATATGAGGGGTATATCGCTTCTCGGCCTTTTGGCTAAGATCAAGTGTAGTATCTGTTCTTATCAGTGTCCAGTGGGGGGGCTCCCGGCCATTCTAGCTTTGCGGGGATGGTTGTTGTATAGTACCCTCACTGGTATGATGGGGGTCCGGAAGGCTGGACCGGAGGGACAGAAACCAGGGGGCGCCACGATACGCTCTGGGACCTTGGGAGTAATTCCTCTGGGAAAGCTGGAAAGACCCAGTACCTCCTGATTTGGACGGATCTACCTTGGTCTGGCCAGGGGCTGGGGACGCAAAAAGTCCGCAAACTCAGTGCCCCCTGGGGAAGACGCTCTCAGGGGTGTCACTAGTAACACTTGGGTGTGGGACCCCACGGTGTGAAGATGACACATGGCCACTGTTTTTCACCTCTTTTTGCACAGCGCCCTAAGGACCAGGTCTTTTGGCTAAGTCCAGGGCAATTTTTGCTACGGGCCTCAGGGCCTGGTCTGTGCACTATTAGGCACGGTACCACTTTTTTATTTTTATTTATTTAATTTAACACCTCCCACGTTTTGTCACTTTTTCTGTTCTTATGTGTGTGTTTTTCACGGATGGAGGGTGTGGGTCCTCGGGCCTTACCTGAAGTCTAGGGGGAGGATGTGTGGCCCTACGGTTCCTTCCTCCCCTGATCCCTAGGGGGTTTTCTCTTCGGGAGAACCCCCTTGCCTAGTACTGAATGTCCGGCTTCAGCTGGGCATAAGGAACGGTGGTCCACCAGGCCAGGAGGACCAAATGGGAACCTTGTCCCTGTCAGGAGCTTCGTGCCCCGGGGGATCGGGTGAACGGTCCAACCCTTCCGGGGGTAGGACAAACACACCCCTAAGTGCACTTTTTCGTGTGGTGTTCGCACTTGCACTTTTTTTGTGATCACTTACGGGTTTTTCGTTGTAGTTTGCACGTTTGTGGACTTAAAAAAAAAAAAAAAAAGGGGGGTATATGAGGGAACTAGATGGAAGCAGAAATCCAGGAACATCTTTTTCTGGGGGGTGTGCCGGCTCTTCATGGGTCAAATGCTCGTTTGGTTCTAAGGGGGAGGACACCAAAGATATAGTCACCTGATCCCGCACAAGACCGGTCCTTTCGGTTCCTGTTCCCCCCCCCCCCAGTCCAGCAGACTTGTAAATGGGCTATTCCTGACATCAGCACGCTCAATGTGAGCTCCACAGATAGGAACAGTCCACAGCTGGACCGTGGGGGAGCGTGGTTTTCCAGGGAATTGGTGGGTTAGGTGAGTATGAGCCAAGTCCTCAGCCTTAGAAAAAAAAAAACATCCATGCAGTGGGGGCACCACCCCAATGCATGGCAAATAAAAAAAAAAAAAAAAAAAAAAAAAAAAAAAAGAACTGGAGTTCTCCTTTAACCACTTCCCGTCCAGCCCATGTACATAAACGGCCAGACGGGAGCACTGCAGGGGCGGGTGGACGTTTATAAATGGCCCCGCATTCACTGGCTGTGCGCACTCCCTGGGAGAGCGCGGCACCACGATCCAGTGCCCGCTGTGTGAACACCAATCGTCGTACGGGATCTCTGTGTGAGGTCCCGATCATGTGATCCCTGATTGGCCAATCAGTGATCACATGCAGAGTAGTAAGCAAGATGTCACTTCTGACATCATTGCTTACTACGTGTGAAATCTGTGAATGATCACCGAGGTCACATGGTACAGGGCCATTCACAACAGCCTTGTACCATGTGACAAGCTGTGACCAATCACAGCTCTCACAGTATTTCTCAATGGCTGCAGGAATGCAGACAGAGAGAAGGAAACATGATTTCTTTTACAGCCTTTATGGATGTAAAAGCAATCTGTGTATATAAAAAAAAAAATCTTCATCACCCCCCACAAGTAGTACAGTGTCACCATGGTGACACTGTACTGCTAGGGTGACAGTATGTTAATAAAAAACAGCACCCGGTGATCGCCAAGTATCTCCAACAGGGGAGAGAGCTGTGCAGTATAAACAACACAGATCTCTCCACTGTCAGCTCCTGCACACTGCTTTGTATGGCTCTGCATAGCAGTGTGGTTACAGTGTAAAGCACAGCACACAGTTAACCCTTTGATGGCCCCAGATGTTAACCCCTTCCTACCCAGTGTCATTAGTACAGTGTCAATGCTTATTAGCACTGATCACTGTATTGGTGTCACTGGGGATGTCAGTGACACCAAGTCTGCATAGCAGAGAGATACACAGCAGCATGCCTCTGTTGTAAAATACACACAGTTAACCCTTTGATCACCCCTCATGTTAACCCCTTCCTGCTCAGTGACATCAGTATAGTGTCAGGGCTTTTTATTAGCACTGATCACGGTATTGGTGTCACTGGGGATGTCAGTGACACCAAGTCAGTTGCCCCCCCCCCAGTGTCAGAATGCCCGCCGCAGTCCCGCTACAAGTCGCTGATCGCCGCCATTACTAGTTAAAAAAAAAAAAAAAAAAAAAAAAAAAAAAACGATTCCAGTATCTATCCCGCCATTTGTAAACGCTATAACTTTCATGTAAAACAATAAATTTACACGTATCAGGATTTTTTTTAGCAAAGACACGGAGTGGAATACATTTTGGCCAAAATTTATGACAAAATTTTATTTTTTATTTTTTTTATGTTTTATAGCAAAAAGTCCAAAATATTTTTTTTTTTTTGTCAAAATTGCCGGTCTTTTTGTTGTTCATAGTGCAAAAATTAAATGCAAAGGCGATCAAATACCACTGAAAGAAAGCTCTATTCTTGGGGAGAAAAGGACGTAAATTTCATTTGGGTGCAGCGTTGCATGACCATCCTCTGGAGGACGAGGGGTTAATTGAACAAGCTGAGGATAGAAGCTGATTGGCTGCCAGGCTCGGGCGCGCCAGTTTCGGAGTGCTCCAGTTTTGGTAAATCTCCCCCGTAGTGTGAATTGGCCCTAAGAGGTGACAACGCTGTACTATAGCAATGTTCCCAATACTCAGGTACAGGCCAATCAAATACATCTCACCAAATAATCTTCCTTGGGGTCAAAAGAAACACTCAACACGGGCGCCTCGTGTCCACGGAACGTCTTCTGCACGCTGCTGTCCTCCACCTGCACCACCTTCACCAAGAAATCACTGCAAGAACAATACAATTACTGACATGACAGTGACAGTGGAGGGCACAGCTCACTGCTACTACTAGGGATAGGAGCTCCCTGGGGGCAGCACGCTAAATGGGGGGCAGGGACAGCACGCTCCCTCGGGGCAGGAACAGCACGTTCCCTGGGGGGCAGGGACAGCACGCTCCCTGGGGGGCAGGGACAGCACGCTCCCTGGGGGGCAGGGACAGCACGCTAAATGGGGGGCAGGGGCAGCACGCTGGCTGCCTGGGGGCAGGGGCAGCACGCTGGCTGCCTGGGGGCAGGGGCAGCACGCTGGCTGCCTGGGGGCAGGGGCAGCACGCTAAATGGGGGCAGGGGCAGCACGCTCCCTGGGTGGAAGGGGCAGCACGCTGTCGGGGGGCAGCAAGCTGTCAGGGGGCGGGACGCTGTCAGGGGGTGGGACGCTGTCAGGGGGCGGGACGCTGTCAGGGGGCGGGACGCTGTCAGGGGGCGGGACGCTGTCAGGGGGCGGGACGCTGTCAGGGGGTGGGACGCTGGCTCGGGGGCGGGGGCAGCACGCTGGCTTGGGGGCGGGGCAGCACGCTCCCTGCGGGGCGGGGGCAGCACGCTAAATGGGGGCGGGGGCAGCACGCTAAATGGGGGCGGGGGCAGCACGCTCCCTCGGGGGCAGGGACTGATCTGAATGTACAATATATATGTAAAGCGCTGCATAATTGATGGCGTTATATATAGCCATGGCCAAAAAATCTTGTCCCCCCCCATTACTGTCACATAACACCCCACTTCACCCAGAAATTGACAAATGTTTCGGCATTCTCATGTTTATTTCTTTGGTTTGTATTTGTAAAGTGGAGAAACAAAAAGCCAAATCTGACCCATTCCTCGCAGAACCCCAAAAAATAACCGGACAAAATTGTTGGCACCCTCTGAAAATTGTAAGAAATTATTGCATTCCATGTTTGTGATTCTCCTGTAATTTGTCATTAACCGCTTTCCTCCTGCCGTCTCATAGCAGAAATACTGCGACAGGGCGGCAGGGCTGCGCAAAATCACATATATATATATATATATACACGATTTTGCATTTCTTGGAAAGGGGCGCACACGCCCTACCACCGCCACCATTCGCGGCCTCAGCTGTCGATCACCAGGTACCGGCCGGTGATCCCCCGCCGGCACCCGCCGATCATCACTGATGGGGGAGAGATCAGTATGTAAACAATACAGATCTCTCCTGTCAGCTCCTGCACACTGCTTTGTATGGCTCTGCTGACAGTCAAGTCCCCGGTCACACTAGATGCCAATTGGCATGCGATTTGCATGCCATGCGACTTGTACACTGCATGCCAAGTCGCACCCTATTGTCCGCAATCACAGCAGTCATATTGGTGCGGTCCCGACTTGGTCGGAGCCGCACCGATTTCTAAGGTAGTGCATGCGCTGCTTTTGGTGCGATTTGCATAGACACCTGTGTCCAATGTCTCGCACCTGAAATCGACACGTCATCAGACTGAAATCCTGCGACTTCACTGAAAGTCACACAATTTCAAAGTCGGGTTTGGTGTGACCGGGGGGTAGAGCACCGGGTCCCTGCCAGTGATTTCTAGCCAGCACCCGGTGATTGCCGATCTAGGACGGGGGGGGCAGTATAAACAACACAGATCTCTCCCGTCAGCTCCTGCTTTGTATGGCTCTGCATAGCAGTGTGCTTACAGTGTAAAGCACAGCACACAGTTAACCCTTTGATGGCCCCAGATGTTAACCCCTTCCTGCCCAGTGCCATTAGTACAGTGTCGGTGCTTTTTATCAGCACTGATCACAGTATTGGTGTCACTGGGGATATCAGTGGCAGTTAGTTAGTTCCCCCCCAGTGTCAGAATGTCCGCCGCAGTCCCGCTATAAGTCGCTGATCGCCGCCATTACTAGTATAAAAAAAAAGAAAAAATCCCCGTATCTATCCCGCCATTGTAGACGCTAGAGCTTTCACGTAAACCAATTAACTTCCACATATCGGGATTTTTTTTTAGCGAAGACACGGAGCGGAATACATTTTGGCCGAAATTTATGACAAAATTTGATTTTTCAAATTTTTTTACTGGACATGTAATAGCAAAAAGTCAAAAACATAGTTTTTCTTTTCTTAAAACTGTCGGTTACAGCGCAAAAAATAAAAACTGCAGAGGTGATCAAATACCACCGAAAAAGATCTCTATTTTGTGGGAAAAAAAGGACGTATATTTCATTTGGGTGCAGCGTTGCATGACCGCGCAATTGTCAAAGTAATGCAGCGCCGTAGAAAAATGGGTTGGTCAGGAAGTGGGGGGGGGGGGGTAAATCCTCTGGAGGGGGAGGGGTTAAACTCTCCTGTATCCATGACCAGGCGCTGACAATATAGAAGTCACACCAACAACCAGGGACAATGGTGACACATGGCCTCCACCTGTGTTGTGTCTGTGTGAGCCGCGTGCAGAAGAGGCAGACCAGCAAGGACTTATGAATGAACTATGAGAGTGATCATCGTTGCCCTCACAGCTCATTCAGGAGCCGCCTGCCACAGTGGCTGATGGTACTAGTAGTTCTCTCATTCACAGATTACTGTGAATGAATGACACGCCGTGGTGGATGGAGCCCTGCACAGCCGAGCTATTATCAAAATACGGGTGAGGGGAGAAGAGGCTCGCTGTCACAGGTAAGGTGGGGGGGGTGGTATTCGGGGGTGTGCGGAGGGAGGTCTGCACCATGTTACTTATCCTTTAGGATCTGCTCCTTAAAACTTGACAAAGTAAATCAGAACTTATTGAACAAACATTCTGGACTGACTGACGACGTTTCAGCTTCTGATGTTCTTCTGTATTGTAAGACAACCTGGTGGGTAATCAGCAGCATAAAGTGGACCCCCGAGAAGACACCCACCTGGAGCCCGCCGCCACTCTCGTTCCGTCCGTGTTAAAAACGACATGATTGGCGTTGGTGGTGAAGCGCGTCAGTATTCCATCCGGGTCCCCAGCGGGAAAGGTGTGAGTCTGAATTGCATTGTTGGAGGAGGCGGTGACCACCTTTCCGTCCTGTGATAGGATGAGAGTATTGAAGTGTTACTGAACCCGCAACAGTACAATCAGTCTGTAGATGTAATATTGTGAATGCAGGGTCCGGGGAGAGCGGGTGTGGTGAATGCGGGGTCCGGGGAGAGCGGGGGTGTGGTGAATGCGGGGTCCGGGGAGAGCGGGTGTGGTGAATGCGGGGTCCGGGGAGAGCGGGTGTGGTGAATGCGGGGTCCGGGGGAGAGAGCGGGTGTGGTGAATGCGGGGTCCGGGGAGAGAGGGGGGTGTGGTGAATGCAGGGTCCGGGGAGAGCGGGTGTGGTGAATGCGGGGTGTGGTGAATGCGGGGTCCGGGGAGAGCGGGTGTGGTGAATGCGGGGTCCGGGGAGAGCGGGTGTGGTGAATGCGGGGTCCGGGGAGAGCGGGTGTGGTGAATGCGGGGTCCGGGGAGAGCGGTGTGGTGTGGTGAATGCGGGGTCCGGGGAGAGCGGGTGTGGTGAATGCGGGGTCCGGGGAGAGCGGGTGTGGTGAATGCGGGGTCCGGGGAGAGCGGGTGTGGTGAATGCGGGGTTCGGGGAGAGCGGGTGTGGTGAATGCGGGGTCCGGGGAGAGCGGATATAGTGAATGCGGGGTCCGGGGAGAGCGGGTGTGGTGAATGCGGGGTCCGGGGAGAGCGGGTGTGGTGAATGCGGAGTCCGGGGAGAGCGGATACGGTGAATGCGGGGTCCGGGGAGAGCGGATATAGTGAATGTGGGCTCCACTCTGCATTCACACAGCAGACGCGGGGCCCACTCTGCATTCACACAGCAGACGCGGGGCCCACTCTGCATTCACACAGCAGACGCGGGGCCCACTCTGCATTCACACAGCAGACGCGGGGCCCACTCTGCATTCACACAGCAGACGCGGGGCCCACTCTGCATTCACACAGCAGACGCGGGGCCCACTCTGCATTCACACAGCAGACGCGGGGCCCACTCTACATTCACACAGCAGACGCGGGGCCCACTCTGCATTCACACAGCAGACGTGGGGGGTGTCATCCGCCTACTCTGCTCCCAGATCCCCTGCGGCTCGGAATCCGCCCCGTGGGGAAGGGGCCTTAGAGTGCAGGAGGTCTGCTTACTTTCAAAGCGAAGGAGTACACCTTTTCTCCAACATTGAAGGACTTCGGGTCATCGTCATCCAGATCTTCCCAGATGCGAATGTCGCCGTCACTGCCACAAGTCACTATACACCTGCGGGAAGAACAATGAGGTTCATAATGACAAAAATGCTTTCAAAAGAACTGCAATACAGGTTTGGTTTTAAAGAAAAAGACAAAAATAAATAGTATACAGTCGGGGATTAGGAAGTAGTATGAAGTTTGCAGCTCAGCATGCTGCCAGTGTTCCCAATACTCTCCCAAAGGCCGCGATATTCCTGAACACCCCGGCAGCATCGCTAGTGATCCGCACTCTACGAGCCTCACTATGGTACAAAGCAAAGGCTCTGCCTGGCACGTGTGTGTGTCTCTGTGTCTGTGTTCGTGTCTGTATGTGTGTGTGGTACATATTCCTATCTAGACAAATGTATACAAAAGATGTAAATACTGCACATAGGGAAAAAAAACGCAACAGCACTACGATCACAGATCAAGAATATTACATGGTTTATAAACAATGTTACTTTGTTTATAAACCATGATCAGACAAGAGATAGAAAGATACAAAGTAACATTGTTTATAAACATCGATCAGACGGGAGATAGAAAGATACAAAGTAACATTGTTTATAAACATCGATCAGACGGGAGATAGAGAGATACAAAGTAACATTGTTTATAAACATCGATCAGACGGGAGATAGAGAGATACAAAGTAACATTGTTTATAAACATCGATCAGACGGGAGATAGAGATACAAAGTAACATTGTTTATAAACATCGATCAGACGGGAGACAGAGAGATACAAAGTAACATTGTTTATAAACATCGATCAGACAAGAGATAGAAAGATACAAAGTAACATTGTTTATAAACATCGATCAGACGGGAGATAGAGAGATACAAAGTAACTGTTTATAAACATCGATCAGACGGGAGATAGAGAGATACAAAGTAACATTGTTTATAAACATCGATCAGACGGGAGATAGAGATACAAAGTAACATTGTTTATAAACATCGATCAGACGGGAGATAGAGAGATACAAAGTAACATTGTTTATAAACATCGATCAGACGGGAGATAGAGAGATACAAAGTAACATTGTTTATAAACATCGATCAGACGGGAGATAGAGAGATACAAAGTAACATTGTTTATAAACATCGATCAGACGGGAGATAGATACAAAGTAACATTGTTTATAAACATCGATCAGACGGGAGATAGAGAGATACAAAGTAACATTGTTTATAAACATCGATCAGACAAGAGATAGAAAGATACAAAGTAACATTGTTTATAAACATCGATCAGACAAGAGATAGAAAGATACAAAGTAACATTGTTTATAAACATCGATCAGACGGGAGATAGAGAGATACAAAGTAACATTGTTTATAAACATCGATCAGACGGGAGATAGATACAAAGTAACATTGTTTATAAACATCGATCAGACGGGAGATGGAGAGATACAAAGTAACATTGTTTATAAACATCGATCAGACGGGAGATAGAGAGATACAAAGTAACATTGTTTATAAACATCGATCAGACAAGAGATAGAAAGATACAAAGTAACATTGTTTATAAACATCGATCAGACAAGAGATAGAAAGATACAAAGTAACATTGTTTATAAACATCGATCAGACGGGAGATAGAGAGATACAAAGTACCATTGTTTATAAACATCGATCAGACGGGAGATAGATACAAAGTAACATTGTTTATAAACATCGATCAGACGGGAGAGAGAGAGATACAAAATAACTTTGTATCTCTCCATCTCCCGTCTGATCGATGTTTATAAACAATGTTACTTTGTATCTCTCTATCTCCCGTCTGATCGATGTTTATAAACAATGTTACTTTGTATCTCTCTATCTCCCGTCTGATCGATGTTTATAAACAATGTTACTTTGTATCTCTCTATCTCCCGTCTGATCGATGTTTATAAACAATGTTACTTTGTATCTCTCTATCTCCCGTCTGATCGATGTTTATAAACAATGTTACTTTGTCTCTCTCCATCTCCCGTCTGATCGATGTTTATAAACAATGTTACTTTGTATCTCTCCATCTCCTGTCTGATCGATGTTTATAAACAATGTTACTTTGTATCTATCTCCCGTCTGATCGATGTTTATAAACAATGTTACTTTGTATCTCTCCATCTCCCGTCTGATCGATGTTTATAAACAATGTTACTTTGTATCTCTCCATCTCCCGTCTGATCGATGTTTATAAACACCTTCTATTTTCTGACAGTAACACCTATTACAACAGTTGTATTCACACAGCAGCTTCTGGTTGTCATTTTGAGTGTCAGGAGTTGCAGGAAGTTCCAGCTAGTATCAGGAGAGGGAATGCTACACACGTCCTGAGCACTTCCATGAAGATTTGTTTTGGACATGTGTAGCACATCCAGTGCCCTCAGTGTCAGGGTTTGGTGTTGTTTTGTGTACAGATGATATACAGACACGGGGACGGCTATATTGTTTATTACATATGCAGGCTGTGCTATCTAAGGAGGTGTACTGCACAGCGAGCGAACCGCAGGTCTGCCTGTAGAAGACTTCAGGGAGAAAACCTCACCTTCCGGTATCATCAAAGCTGACATCTGTCTGGCCCTCAGGGTGCCCATAGCGCATCGGTTTCTTCTCGGCAGGCATGATCCAAGATGGAGACGTCCTCAGCACTATCTAAAGACATTAACAGGTCAGCCAGTTCCCATCCGCGCTGATACCGAAGGATGGCTACAGTGTGGTGGTGTGATCCTGGGATGACGTCCATGGACATCATTCCAGAACACACCCCCCCCCCCCCCGCGCGCACCCCCATCGCCACCGGTGAAAAGGTGTCCATATTTTGTGTGGCCGCCATTATATTCCAGCACTGCCTTAACCTTCTTGGGCATGGAGGTCACCAGAGCTTCACAGGTGGCCACTGGAGTCCTCTTCCCCTCCTCCATGATGACGTCATCATGTAGCTGGTGGGTGTTAGAGACCTTGCGCTCCTCCACCTTCCGTTTGAGGATCCCCCACAGATGCTCAATAGGGCTCAGGTCTGGAGACATGATTGGCCAGTCCATCACCTTTACATGTGAGGTTCTGGAAGACTGTGTGTGTGTATATATATACACACACATTGTATACAGTCCGGGGGGGGGGGGGCTCACTTCTGGGAGATGCTGTATATATATATATTGTATACAGTCGGGGGGGGGGGGGGGGGGGGGGGGACTCACTTCTGGGAGATGCTGTATATATATATACACATTGTATACAGTCCGGGGGGGGGGGGACTCACTTCTGGGAGATGCTGTGTATATATATATTGTATACAGTCCGGGGGGGGGGGGGGGGGGGGGGGACTCACTTCTGGGAGATGCTGTATATATATATATTGTATACAGTCCGGGGGGGGGGGGACTCACTTCTGGGAGATGCTGTATATATATATATTGTATACAGTCCGGGGGGGGGGACTCACTTCTGGGAGATGCTGTATATATATATACATTGTATACAGTCCGGGGGGGGGGGGGACTCACTTCTGGGAGATGCTGTATATATATATATATTGTATACAGTCCGGGGGGGGGGGGGACTCACTTCTGGGAGATGCTGTATATATATATATATTGTATACAGTCCAGGGGGAGGGGGGGCTCACTTCTGGGAGATGCTGTATATATATATATATATACATTGTATACAGTCCGGGGGGGGGGGGACTCACTTCTGGGAGATGCTGTATATATATATACATTGTATACAGTCCGGGGGAGGGGGGGCTCACTTCTGGGGGGGATACTATATATATATATATATACATTGTATACAGTCCGGGGGAGGGGGGGCTCACTTCTGGGAGATGCTGTATATATATAAATATACATTGTATACAGTCCGGGGGAGGGGGACTCACTTCTGGGGGATACTATATATATATATACATTGTATACAGTCCGGGGGAGGGGGGGGCTCACTTCTGGGGGATACTATATATATATACATTGTATACAGTCCGGGGGAGGGGGGGCTCACTTCTGGGGGATATCCGGAACAGGGGGGGGATGGGCTCACTTATATATATATATATATACATTGTATACAGTCCGGGGGGGGGGACTCACTTCTGGGGGATACTATATATATATACATACATTGTATACAGTCCAGGGGGGGGGGGGGGAAGACTCACTTCTGGGAGATACGGTATATATATATATATATATATATACATTGTATACAGTCGGGGGGGGGGCTCACTTCTGGGGGATACTATATATATATACATTGTAGACAGTCCGGGGGGGGGGGGGGACTCACTTCTGGGGGATATTATATATATATATACATTGTATACAGTCCAGGGGGAGGGGGGGGGCTCACTTCTGTGAGATACTATATATATATATACATTGTATACAGACCGGGGGGGGCTCACTTCTGGGGGATACGGTATATATACATACATAGATACATTCACATACACAGGGAAGCAGTTTTCTTGAGCTTTTCAGTGTCAGTTAGCATCAGATTGCCCGCCACACTATCACAGTCTCCCTACAAGTTGCTGATCACCACCATTACCAGGATGGAAATAACAAAAACTTGCAGTATATTCCCCAGAGTTGTATAACTGTCACACAAACCAATCAATATACATTCACTGGGATATTTTTATCTTTTAACCAAAGACATGTAGCAGAATATATTTTGTAAAGAAATTTTAATTTTTATTGGATGTTTTTTAGCAAAGTAATGCATGATTGCCCCCAGCCCTTCCCCCCCCGCGCAATGCCCGATTGCCCCCAGCCCTTCCCCCCGCGCAATGCCCAATTGCCCCCAGCCCTTCCCCCCTCGCAATGCCCGATTGCCCCCAGCCCTTCCCCCCTCGCAATGCCCGATTGCCCCCAGCCCTTCCCCCCCTCGCAATGCCCGATTGCCCCCAGCCCTTCCCCCCGCGCAATGCCCGATTGCCCCCAGCCCTTTCCCCCCCGCGCAATGCCCGATTGCCCCCAACCCTTCCCCCCGCGCAATGCCCGATTGCCCCCAGCCCTTCCCCCCTCGCAATGCCCGATTGCCCCCAGCCCTTCCCCCCCGCGCAATGCCCGATTGCCCCCAGCCCTTCCCCCCACCCAATGCCCGATTGCAGGCAGCCCAGTTATTGGGGTTTTTGTTTATATTAGGAATATTTTCTAAAAGCCCCTCCCCCTTCGGTGATGTCAGAGCGATCACAGACTGTAGCAGAGCCGCGTCACATGTTGGTGCAATACGCCATTCTCCACACGCCTGTCAGGCGGATCAATGAGCGGCTCTGCATCACCCCAACGCATGGAACACGCATGGCGCTGCGACTGAGCCGCTCAGGAAAGTTCTGATCCAGGAAATAAATATCCTCCATAGAGAGGAGGCGGGGTCACAGTTCCCCCACAATTCATTTCCATGGGAGAAGGTTGTCACCAGAACAGGAAGTGACACTACCACACACAGCAGGGACTTCCCCTCACTTCCGGTGCAGGTGACACCCCTCCCCAATGACGGCCATGAAGGGAGTCCGGAGGTCCTCACACTCCATCGCGGGCCCAACCAGACCCTGAGGGCCCCTCACTAGGGACGAATCTCGCCGCTGTCACTATAGCCACCAACACAGAGCCTGATATACACCGGGGTACAACCCCCGCCGCCCCCCACAACACCCGGACCCCCAGGGGCCCCTCATACCTCTCCCCGCTCTCCTCGCTTTCAACTTTCGCGGGAAACTTGGCAGCAGCTGGCGGGAAACTCCTCCCCCTCCGCCGTCATGGAGCTAGCCAATCAGAGCGCACTGCCGGCTTCCAGACGTTGCGCTCCAGACGTTGCGTTCCACGCCTCTCTACCTCTGGCTACGCTCCCGGAAGATACCACCAGGCCTCCGGGGAGGGGAGGTCATGAGACGGGGGGTGGTAGGAGGAGCCAGCTGTGTAACTCTTTCATGTCTCAGCTGAATTAATCCCTCCCCCTACAGAGAATTTCACTCCCCTCCCCCTATGGAGGATTTCCCTTCCCCTCCCCCTCCAGAGGATTCCCCCCCTCCTGACCAGGCCATTTTTTGCTTTATGGCGCTGCATTACTTTGACAATTGCGCGGTCATGTAACGCCGCACCCAAATTAAATTTACGGGTTTTTTTTCCCCACGAATAGAGCTTTCAGTGGTATTGATCACCTGTGCGGTTTGTATATTTTGCAAAAGAAACAATTTTGAAAAAATATATATTTTTGATTTTTTGCTATTGAACACGTCCAGTAAAAAAATTTAAAAAATCACATTTCCCTCATAAATTTCAACCAAAATGTATTCTGCTCCGTGTCTTCTGGGCATCTGGGAGAAAATAGGAGTTTTTCAGGGTGGGTGTAAATTGGTTGATTTACGGGAAATTTACGGGATTTACGTCTACAAATGGCGGTATAGATACTGGGATTTTTTTTATCCTTTATACTAGTAATGGCGGCGATTGGCAACTTACAGCGGGACTACGGGGGGGGCGCTCTGACACTGGGGGGGGGAAAACTGACTTGGTGTCACTGACATCCCCAGTGACACCAATACAGAGATCAGTGCTAATAAAAAGCCCCCGACACTGTACTAATGGCACTGGGCAGGAAGGGGTTAACATCTGGTGCGATCAAAGGGTTAACTGTGTGCTGTGTTACTAGGGAGACATGCTGTGCGGCGGAGAGATACAAAGCAGCGTATCCTTGCTGGCAGGAGAGATCAGTATTGTTTACACTCAGATCTCTTCCCTGTTGGAGATACTCAGCGATCACCGGGTGCCAGCGGGGAATCAGCCGAGGCTGCGAATGGCATCATGGGTAGGGTGCACGCCCCCCCCCCCCCCCCCCCCCCCCCTCCCGGTATGCAAAAATCACATATACAAGATTTTGCACACCCGTGCCGCCCTGAAGCAGTATTTCTGCTATCGGGCGGGAAAGCCATTAAAAAATCCCTCATAGTTATAGTACATAGTTAGTCTGGCTGAAAAAAGACAAAAGTCCATCCAGGTCAACCATAGAAAGAAAGTTATAATCCTACAAGTTGATCCAGAGGAAGGCAAAAGAAATATTATTCATATTATTATTATTCATATTATTATTATTAATAATCTATTATTACATATATATACAGTATATAGGGGTCTATACAGTGCAGGAAATGCATATTTGCTCCCCCCCCATGGTGAATGTTCGCCCCTCACACAGAAACGATCAGTCTAACAATGGAATGTTCGCCCCTCACACAGAAACGATTGGTCTAACAATGGAATGTTCGCCCCTCACACAGAAACGATCGGTCTAACAATGGAATGTTCGCCCCTCACACACAGAAACGATCGGTCTAACAATGGAATGTTCGCCCCTCACACAGAAACGATCGGTCTAACAATGGAATGTTCGCCCCTCACACAGAAACGATCGGTCTAACAATGGAATGTTCGCCCCTCACACAGAAACGATCGGTCTAACAATGGAATGTTCGCCCCTCACACAGAAAACGATCGGTCTAACAATGGAATGTTCGCCCCTCACACAGAAACGATCGGTCTAACAATGGAATGTTCGCTGTAACACTGAGAGACAGAATACAACAACAAATTCAGCAGAAATGCGTCTAACAAATGTCAATC